AGCAGGAATCCTGTGCAACCGTGGGAAGAGCTGTCCCTCAAAACCTGCTTTGCTACAGCAGCAGCCAGGGTACCAGGGAGATAGAGGTGTCATCCCTTGTGCTAACTGCTGGTACCTGCAGGGCCCCTTTCTTGTCTCTAAGTTCACTGTCTGGGGTTGGACAAGCCAAAAATGCAAGCTGAGCAGCAGCACATCCATTTCCCAGTGTCAGCTTTCTGAGAACCAGACTTTCAAGATGGACCACCTTGGTGTAATTGTCTGACCTAACTGTAGAGGAGATTAATCTTGCCGTGAGCAGAGGAGTTAGGGAAGAACTGAATGTCTGTGTGAACTTGGATGGGACCAGAGACATGTAGGAAGCCCAGCATCCCTGTAATTGACCTCCCAAATCCGCTGTGAGGGTGAACCCAGGTTAGCATTGCAGGTGGTTGGGCAAGACATGCTCTGCTGCAGGTTGTCTGCTGTGGAAAGGTCCTCAGAGCAGAAGGGAGCAAGATGGTACACTGAAACATGGGCTTGCAGCCCCTGGGTTGCTTCAGGAATTTTCCCCTAGGGTCAATGCAAAACCACATAAACCCAAGCAAAAATCAACCCAAAAGTGCTGGGATTCAGCACTCTGCCTTCCCTCTGAGCTCATGGCAGCACAGTTAGGCTGGAATAGGTAGCCTTGTTTTTCTCACCATGCCTCAGTTCTTCAAAAACTTTGCTGTGTGAGCTGATGAGACATGGGGTGGGTTTGATTAACTGCTCAGAGGGGTTGACTTCTCCTGCTGCTGCCTCCTCTAGGCACCTAAATCCTAGTTTACATTTCAACCTTTTTCCCCAATTTATTTTTCCATATCCAGAAGGACAGAGGTTGGGCTCTCTTCGGTCTCCCCAAGTCCCCCACCTCTGCCAGCTGTGTCCCACAAGCACACAAATTACCCCAGGTCATTATGAGCTTTCTCTAAGTTGAATGTCTCTTTGCTTTTGCCCTCCAGGTGATCAAGAGCCCTTGAGGTGGAATCCTTCCCCGCAATGCTGCTGCTGCTGCTGCTGCAGGTCTTGACCAGCTGCCTCTGGCTGGGACATGGCGAGGTAGTGACATCCTTGCAAAGTTCATGCCCTCAGTTTTTCTTCCAGAAAACACCCCCGAATTCAGCCCTAACACCTCAAAACCCAGCCTGGATCTGCCAGCGTTATGGGAACAAGTATTACTTTGCCACCCTGTATGACAGGAACCAGCGTATTCCTGTGTACTCTGCTTACCTCTATCAGCCTGGACCTGGCAAGAGACCTAACACATGGTTGGTGGAGCCCCAGGTGAGTGTCCTCCCTTGTAGCATGTCACTAAAAGGTGACCTGCAGCATCTAACCACTTTTTCCCACCACCCTCTGCCCCACTGCTCAAACGGACCCACTGGTTGGGTTTCAACTTTAAACACCTTCACCACACAATTCCTATGATGTGTCTGAGCCATCAGCAGGAGAATGAGATGAGTCATATCCTAAAAGTGCCCATTTTTCTGCATTGACCTTATAGGAATATTAACTCACTTTTTATTATATTACATTATGAAATCAGGCATTTCATACACTTGAGATTAAAAAAAGATGGTTGGTTGACACTCAGAGACTTCTGTTCTAGGAAAGCTTGCTCCATGACTCCCATCACCAATACTAATGTCTTCTTCTCTTCTTTACCTGTCAAGCTGATGGGTCCAAATTATCCAAAAACTATGGAAAAAGAGTGGACCCTCTTAAATCATTTCAAAGTCAGCTTAGAGCAACTCAGCAAGAGCCAAGCTGTCCTCCAAGACTACAAGAACCTGACAGGTTTAAACCGTGGTCATCTGAACCCCAGTGGCCATCATGGCAACTCCAGCAGCAGGAGGGCTACCTTCACCCTGACCAACATAGTGCCTCAGGATGTGAAACTCAATGGAGGAGCTTGGAATAACTACGAGCAGCAAACGATGATGAGAATGACCAAGGGCTGTAAAACCACCTATGTCGTTGTGGGTGCTGTGCCTGGGAACAAATATATTGCCAACAGAAGGGTTAATGTACCCAGTTACATCTGGTCAAGTGCCTGCTGTGAGGTGGACGCCAACAACAGGAAGGCCTGGGGGGTCATTGCTGAGAACAACAGAAATGAGGTCCAGCTCCTCACACTGGGGGAGCTGGAGGACTCACTGACTGTGCTCTATGGGAGGGGCTCAGTTTCTCTGTTTCACGGTGCGTGTCCCCGGGAATAAGCTCCATTTCACATCCCAGGTGTAAAAGGCCCAGGAGCCATCACCACTAAGATCATCACCTCATGCCTTTGCAGCATTTGTCCTGCTTCCTTCTCTAGTGCTTTCCCAACTCTGTCTCTCTGAGCACCTTCTCCCCTGAAGAAAGCGAGAAAGAGGTCAGCAGAGCCTCCAGCTGGTTTGCTTTGCTGCCTGTCCTTGGAGAGAGATCTCAGGGAGGAGTCCTTGCCATGGCCACTTTGGAGGAGCAGTTTGGGTAACAGCCCATGAGCAAGGAAATCAGAGGTTGTCACTGAGACAAGAGGGGCTTTGCCTTTTCCCCCTTTTTTCTCCATGCCCATACACAGATTGGAGTTTCTTGATGTTCTTGTTAGATACCACAGATGATGTGCTGACTTGCACCTCATCTGCTCAGAAAGCATATCTATGGTGGCTGAGATTGCCCAGAGAGGTTATGAATTCTCCCTCTATGGTGATACTCAAGCTACAATAGGACACAGTCCTGGACAACCTGCTCTAGCTGACTCTGCTTGAGCAAAGGTCTGGACTAGAGGACCTTGAGAGGTGCTTCGCACCCTCAACAATTCAGTGGTTTTGTGATTCATCCTGAACTCATATGAAGACCAGGCTTCTGTACATTTACTAATAGGTTTTGGGTTGCTTGCTTTTGGACCATGTGCCTTGAGAGCAGAAGCTGAGGTATCAGAGAACCAAGCTCAGGGGTCAGATGTACACAGGTTTTGACCAGTCAAATAGAAATGTCTGTGATGCTCTGGTTGTCTGTTTTTATTCTCTGCTCAGCTTCTGAACCTTTGCTGTAGATTTATGAATAACTGACTTTGCAAATTACATGAAATGGGTACATAAATAATGGGTATGAATAAATAATTTTCTGGAGGATATTCAATGGGTGTCAAAGATGAATGTATGCCAAATAATTTCGTGTCTGAACAGTTCACAATATATATTATTGTGAATCATAGTGTAACATTCCATGTAAAGAAGAATTTGCTTCCCAGAAAAATTTCCTTTACTTGTAATAACCTAGCAAGGCTGCAATGCCCACAACATCCTTGCAGGAAGCTGGCTGTCCAACTCCAAGCTGAAGATGCCACAACGTCTACCAAATGTCACCATCAAACTCCAGTTACTTTTCCTAGGAATTTGCATGAGCAAAGTGGCTTATGGTGCAAACAGCTTGTACAAACTGTCTCCCTTACAGAGGTACCACCTTGAGCCTGACCTGCTCAGCTCAGGCTGTTCATCAGCCTCCCAGGTCTCATCGGTGACCCAGCACAAGCCTCTTTGAAGGGTGCACAGAAACACGAGGTGAGGTTCAGGTGCAAAGTCAGACACCTGCCTGCAGGTGTCTCCATGTGTGCTGGGTTTCTGAGCTCTGACTGCTGCTCAGCTTCATAAACAGGGCCACCCTGGGCCTCTGGAGATGCCCTGATGTGTGCAAGGCATTCAGTGGGGCTGGCTGATCTGCTGCAGGATGCCTGGGGACACCTGCACCCATGTGGGCCAGCAGCCAGGGGCCAGGCGTGTTCCCAAAGGCATCTCCAGTGCCTGTGGACACCTGAGCACAGGCCACCAGATCTCACCACAGACCACTGGGCACTGCCTAGTAGCATCAATGACTTGCACTCCTGTTTGCAGCTCCAGCAGCAATAGCACTGGCTTGTGTCAGCTGTGTTGCTCAGTGAGGTGGGAGAACATTTTGCTTTTCAGGACAACATGGTAAGAATATCACTCTGCTCCTTGTATGGCATCCCCTCTAAACACTTCACCAATCTTGTGGCCTTCCTCTGCACACTTTCTAGTAGTACCTCCTAATAGTCCTTTTTGTACTGTAGTGCCCAAAATTTCCCTCGGCTTCTCCTCATAAGACTGGTGTTCCTGACCCTTCACCAGCTCTATTGCCCTTCTCTGGACTCACTCCAGCACCTCAATGTCCTTCTTGTAGTGACAGGCTCAAAACTTACCCCAGGATCTGAGTTGCAGCCTCACTAGTGCCAAGTACAAAGGGAAAATCACTTCCCTAGATTTTCAGGACACACTATTGCTGGTACAACCCAAGATGCTGTTTGGCTTTCTTGGACACCTGGCCACACTGCTGGCTCATATTCAGCTGGGTGAAAAGCAGCACCCCCAGGTCCCTTTCCTACTGGCAGCTTTCAAGCCCCTCTTTCCCCAGCCTGAAGCAGTGCATGGGGCTGCCGTGACTCAA